ACTCTGTCACCCAGGCTGGAGTGCAATGGTGCGATCTTGGCTTACTGCAGTCTCCACCTCCCGGGTTCAAGCAATCCTCCTGCCTCAGCGTCCCCAAGTAGCTGGGATTACAGGTGCCTGCCACCACGCCTGGCTAATTTATGCATTTTTTTTTAGTAGAGATGGGGTTTCACCATGTTGGCCAGGCTGATCTCAGGTGATCTGCCTGCCTCAGCCTCCCAAAGTGCTGGAATTATAGGCGTGAGCCACCGCGCCTGGCTATAAATTTTTATCAGGCTAGAAATTTAAGTTTAGTGCTCTGAGGACTACGGAAGTGAGAAATGTTGTTTTTGTTGTTGTTCTTTTTTGTTTTTGTACTTACTCTGTCATCCAGGCTGAAGTGCAGTGGCACAATCTTGGTTCACTATAGCCTTTGCCTCCCAGGCTCAAACAATCTTCCCAAGTAGCTGGGACTGCAGGTGCATACCACCATGCACAGCTAATTTTTGTATTTCTTGTAGAGATGAGGTTTTGCCATGTTACTCAGGCTGGTTTCAAACTCCTGAGCTCAAGCAGTACACCAGCCTCAGCCTTCCAAGGTGTTGGGATTACAGGCGTGAGCCACTGCACCCAGCCGAAGTGAGAAGTATTTTTACACAGGTGAATACTATGATGGAATCTACACTCAGGCAGTTGAATTGATTGGAGGAAGGATAGGTGGAAAGCAGCACACCAGTTATTATAATAGTTGAAAGGCAACTATTGGCATGTGGTGGTAAGTCCAGTTGTAACAGAAAAAGCAAATAATGGAGCTGAGTTGGAGGACTCTTATGAGGGAAGCAGGCTGGATATGTAAGGAATATTATATTCAAACTGCATTTGTTTCACTCAGTCTGTGTTCCTGCTTTTCCTCTCATCTCTCTCCAACTTGTGTTTCTTATAACTAGTCTTAAATCTTTTCTCTCATTTAGTAATTATGGAAATACTAAAAAAAAATTTTTTTAAACAAATTCAGGAGGATCACTTGAGGCCAGGAGTTTGAATCCACCGTGGGCAACATAGTGAGAGCTCATCTCTACAAAAAATTAAAAAATAGCTGGCCATGGTGGCACATGCCTGTAGTACCAGCTGCTGAGGAGGCTGAGGTGGAAGGATTGCTTGAGCCCAGGAGTTTGAGGCTGCAGTGAGATGTGATTGTGCCATTGCCCTCCAGCCTTGGCAACAGTGTGAGACCCTATCTCAAAAACAGTTCACTCCATTTTCAACACTCTTTTGACATTAATTGGCATTCTAAAATTTCTGCTTAATTCTTACCTTCATTATTTCATCTCGATGAGATGTTTTTCTCCCTAAAGTGATTCACTAATGTTGTATTACTCTTATACTATTAATGATTTGATAAACCCAAAATTAAATTAATCTGTTTTTATTCTCTTCATTTTGTGTGTGTGTTATTCTTGTGGTCACTACTTTTTGGTCTTCCTATACTTTTGGCGTAACATTTCAGGAAATCTTTTTTCTTTTCTTTATTTTTAAATGCTTTTGACTGTATTTATTTGAGACAGGGTCTCACTCTGTTGCCCAGGCTGGAGCGCAGTAGCGCAATTTGGGCTCACTGCAACCTCCACCTCCTAGGATCAAGTGATTCTCCCATCTCAGCCTCTTCAATATCTGGGACTAAGGTGCCCATCACTATTCCTGGCTGATTTTTGTAGAGATGGGGTTTCACCATATTGCCCAGGCTGGTCTCAAGCTCCTGGGCTTAAGTGGTCCACCCGCCTGGGCCTCCCAAAGTGCTAGGGTTACAGGGTTAACCCACTGCACCCACCCAAGAAATATTCTTCCTGGGGAAACAATTTTATCTCTTTACTCTGGGAAGTATTTTTATTAACAGATTTATATTGTAGTAGCCACTCAATAAAAGTGACTTGATAAAAGTGTTTAATAAATGGTGACTTACCTACGTCTTGAAGTAATTTAATTAGCTCTTGTTAAAAGAGCAACAGTTGACTCCGTATAGTAAGGCATCTCTGTATTACTAGAAGGGGATTTGCAAAGTAATAGGACTTAAGATTTCTTTTTAGGAGTTTGGTTTAATTCCTAAAGACATTTAGTTCAGGGGCAGAAGGATAGACATCATACTAAAAATGATGCAACAATTTTAGTATGTTCATATATTGAAGGTGTACTGAGAGAGGCAGTCTTACTCACTGACCCAGAAAGAGTGGAATAATTTGAAAGAACTGGGTGAGGTGGTAGAGGTGATGGTTACTAGCTCTTTACCATGTATGCCTTTAACATTTGTTCACCTTGGTATGTTACATTTTGTGTATTACTGCATTTTGGAAAACATCTGTTGGTAGTGGCGATTGCTGCTTCATGACAGAAAAATTATTTTTAGGAAAAGCAATGATATAGGAAAAAAGTTTCTTGGTTTTTCTTCACAAGTCTGGAGGCAAATATAAGGAGGAATACGCATAAGTAAACTTGTCTAAAAGTATGTTGTGGCTGTCTTATAAACCACTTTATTTTTCAGAAGTAAGAAAAGTTCAGTTTTCAAGTCCTTTTTGGAATCTAAGATCATTAATTAATTCTATTTGGAGTTTCATACAAAGTTCTAAGATTTAACTGAAGATTTAGGGCCAGATGAGTGAAGTAGATTTATGCTTCTAAACACAGTAGCCAGAGAAGTGGGTGACTGGGGGAATCTGACTGATAGTTCAGCCTCTGCATAAGCACATCTCTAGTTGAGTCTCTTACTCTTAAGGGACTTCTTGGGGCTCACAAACTTGGTCCTCTCAGAAGAATCTCTATTATCTTCATCATGGAAGAACCCAGGAGGCCAATTGTATGGGGTACCTGATGATGGCATTGTGGGCAAAGGGAACTTACTTCCTGGACATAGGAAGGATAGCTCGTGAATTATCTAATTATTGAATTTGGGTTCTAGTGTAAAGGGCCTAGGACCCCAAATCACAAAGACTATGTCCTGGTCCCAGCCCTGGCACTGGATGGTATCTGTGTTACTCACCACTAAATACTGCCTAATACAGTGCTTGCCTTGTAATAGACATTCAGTAAGTATTTATTTGAGTGAGTGAAATAGTACATTGGATGCATAACTTGGGAAAAGTCACTTTATTTCTCTGGATTTCGTTTTTTCCCCCTTCATCTATAAAAATAACAAATTTTGACTAAATTAACCAAGTCTCTAGTTCTCAAATTACTGCATTAAAAGTTAGATACAATTATTTTAGGTAATCAACTCAACTCCATTGTAAACACCAGTACAAACTTGAGCATTGATATCAGGTAGCATTTCTTGATTTTAAGATAGGATTATAGGTTATCTGGATTACTTTTATAAAACAAAAGCAATATTAAACTTTTTAAATATTTTCCTTTGCTTTTTGGTGTAAAGAAAAGATTTATAACATTTCTTACAGAGAAGTGAATTATGGCAGAAATTTTTTTTTTTTTTTTAAGAGACTGGGTTTCACTGTCTTGGCCAGGCTGGTCTTGAACACCCGACCTCACGTGATCCGCCTGCCTTGGCCTCCCAAAGTGCTGGGATTACAGACCCGGCCTGTGGCAGAATGTTAATAGGTGGTGAATCTAGGTGGTTTATGTAAGATCTTTATACTATTGTAACCTTTCTGTAAATTTGATATTATATTAGTAATTTGAACTCAGAAAAGCCCAACATGCGGTTAGAAAGAAAGTACAACAATGATAATGATAAAACATTAGGTGAATGTTAAGGATAATATTTGGAGATTCATCAATTCATTTAAATATAGAGATTCGTATCTCTTTGCAAAATATTTAGACTTGTAAGGGACATTCGTTCTAAAGGTAAAGGAAATACTCACTGTAAAGCAAGACTGGTGAGTTTCTCACTTACTGCCCAACCCCCCCCCCAAAAAAAACCCTGCAGGTTTTCTTAAATTTAGATCTACTAATATTTTTTACAGTTTTACCCTGTCAGATATTTTTACCCTGTCCCTGCTGTTCCTTTGGGTTGGTAATGGTGGTTACCGGTTTTTTCTTGATTGACAAAGCTGGCACCTTACTGTAACTTAATTACTGAGCCTGCTACCTCTGTACCAAGTGGAACCTTAAATATTTATCTTAACTTAGAATTTAGTGAACTTTGGTGTTTAACAATATTACCTGAATTTGTAAGCTCTTCTATTGATATAATGGTACCATCTTCTTTTTTTCTCATGTGCACTCTGGAGGCTTATTTCCTTTTTTTTTTTTTTTTTTGCTGGGGCAATGTGTATCTGAAAGTGAGACTTTAACAGAGAAGATTGGATACTGTTGGCTCAGCTTCATCTCCAGAGTAATGATAAGGATTATCCATTTTGTTGAAAATTATGTTCCTAATCTTTGTTTTCCTTTGCAAAGTAGAATCAAATTGTAGAGTTAGAAGGGATTTAAGAGTTTAGTCTAAGTTCCTTTTGTTGTGTTGGGGCAAACAAGTTTGCCTAGTTAGGAGCAGAATGGGAATAAGAACCAGAGTTTCATTCTCTTACGCTTTGATTTTTTTTAAGTCTTGTGTCCCAAATTTGAAAGTCTCTAGTTCAGATGAATAAGAATTGTTTTCATTTCATTTCACTGTTTATACAAGTAATTGGTATTCCTTCAAAAAGGCCAAATCTGTGTGAGAGCTCAAAATATGCAGAATGTGAATAGGTATTTGCTGTTGTCCAACAGTAACCAAAATCTATAAAGTTTAATATTCTTGTTTTTTTAACTTAAAAAAAAAATTAGGCCACATACTGGCAAAAACAAAGTTTAATGTCTTAATGGAATGATTCATTTGAGGGTGTGGTAACTGAAATATGTGAAATATATTTTTTAAAAACTTCATGTATTTATCATCCTGATTCAGTTATTAATTTGTGACTGATTTTGAGAAAAATTTGTAATGTTGATCATTTTTAGGCTTTGTCTAACTACAAAATAAATCTAGGTATATTCTAAATGACTTAATGCAGACACTTATTTTTCTGCAGTGTTTCCTGAGGTTATAGGCGGGTATTTGAGGAGTACATGCGGGTTATTAGCCAGCGGTACCCAGACATCCGCATTGAAGGAGAGAATTACCTCCCTCAACCAATATATAGGTAAGAAATTTTAATTACTTAAAAGGAAAAGAATTTATTTGACTTTATAAATATTTGTGAATTGGTTTAATTAGCTGTCCTTAGTTACTGTAATTACTTAGTTGGTTATAATATACAGAGAATGCTATTTTATATATAACAAGTTTATTTGACCCAAATATAGGAGGCTTTTTCTGTAAGAAGGAATGGGGTCATTTCAGAGATGGCAACCTTTCTAAAGATGTGTTTTCTTACATATTTTTAATTGTGGAAATAGAATAACAATCCTCAGTTTTTATAGAAAGTCAGTGGTATTAAATTCTCTTTCAAAAAATCGTGTTTTTAAAGACCAATTCTGTATAATTTTGTAGTTTAATTTTTCAGTTGATTTTAAATATATTAAATATTTTTGTTTTAAAACTGCACAATAAACTTTAATTGCTTTTTCTATAAGTAACTTTCAGATTTGGTGTCTAGAAAAGTCTTTGCATACACTTGAATTACTAAATTTTAAAGTAGATTAGAAATTGTGACTTCTGATGATTTTCTTTCTTTTCTTTTGATAGACATATAGCATCTTTCCTGTCAGTCTTCAAACTAGTATTAATAGGCTTAATAATTGTTGGCAAGGATCCTTTTGCTTTCTTTGGCATGCAAGCTCCTAGCATCTGGCAGTGGGGCCAAGAAAATAAGGTATGTAACTTAATAGCTTTGGTAACTAGGTTTTTAGGTTGTCGATAAAATATTCTAATGGATTTTCTTATTTCGATATTTGTTATTGATTCACACCTGTTCATGTATTATTTTAATTTATACCACTTTTATCTCTGGACAAGTCACTTAACCTCCCTTCACCTTTGTTTCCATATTGATATATTATGAGTGATTAGGGCTCAACCTTTTTATTTCGGGGGGATAGGGAGGTATTACTTTAATATTACCAGGGCACAAAATAGTTTGTTTTCTGATTTTGATTATATTACTTAGGTCAATTCATATCCAGCAAAACGTATCATATACATAATGTAGGCCTTTTATACCAACTAATGTGGTATTAGTGGGTTGATTCACCTTAAAAAGGGGATTTCCATTAACTTGTTCTTATCAAAACTCCTTTCTTTTCAAATTCTTTGTCCTTTGCCTCTTCTGTTCATGGATCTGTTTTAATTGCCTGAAAGAAACAATGTAAATATACTCAAGAACTTTGTGCTGTTTCTCTTTTCCTTTGTTTGTGTAGGGTCTTTTTACTTCATACATTCTTTCTAGATTACTCTTATTTTAGTTAAAATCTTTTTTTTTCTGGAGGGCTCACTATCCTGTCTAAAATGGGTCTAATTTGTATTTTTCTCATGAATTAGATTTTTCTTGTTTTTTAATTCTAGGCCGAATACCTTTAGCAGACTCCTGCATAGCTGTCCCTATTTTTCTTAGGGAACCATTTCTTTCCAGTAACAGGCAAAACTACTTAACATAAATATCTTCAAGTGCTATCTCTAATTGAAATATATCTCTACCTTGTAGGTTTTATGACATTTCCTTGTGTATTGTTCCCAGGAAAATAGACTTAACATGCCCAAATGGTAGAGTAATTCCTATAAAAACAAACCCCACCTAGCTCCTGTTGGGTAGTAGGGAAAGCTCTTTCTCAGCTGCTGTGAACATTTGATTTATTTTTCTGAAACAGCTTGCTGTGAATTGGCATTCTCACTGCATCCTACTCTTAGTCCAGTGGTTTTGTTAAATTAAAACTTTTCTGTCCACTAAGGAATACCTAATCACTTTTGGGAGAGAGTATAGATTTGCTTTGAAAGGTGAATGATTATACTTTAATATGCCTGTGCTTTCTAACCTACTTCTTTCTTAGTTTGACTTAAAATGATTTGTTTGAAACATACAGGTTGTATTGAATACTATATGGAGTTGCTAGTTTTGCATCACAAGTCTCTTATGAATTTATATGTATGTATGTGTTTGTGTATATATATATTTGAGATGGAGTCTCGTTCTGTGGCCCAGGCTGGAGTGCAGTGGCATGATCTTGACTCACTGCAACCTCCGCCTCCCAGGTTCAAACAATTCTCTGGCCTCAGTCTCCCGAGTTCCTGGGACTACAGTCGCGTGCCACCATGTCCGGCTAATTTTTTGTATTTTTAGTAGAGATGGGGTTTCACTGTGTTAGCCAGGATGGTCTTGATCTCCTGACCTCGTGATCCGCCTGCTTTGGCCTCCCAAAGTGCTGGGATTACAGGCATGAGCCACCATGCCCGGCCTTATGAATCGATATATTATAAAAATGGTAAAGTTAACTCTTCTTAGGCATGTATTCTTTTGTTTAACTTATTAAGGCTATTATGAAATCTCTTAGAAATTCTGTGTACATTATGAATATCATCTATAAGTGCTTCAGTATGTATAGAGTTGCAAATTAATATTGCTTTACTTTTGCTCTGTGTTTGTTGTCTGAACTATGGAATAGCAGTAATAGTTTTTTTATGGGAACTTTTTAAGTAGATTAAAAAGAGCATTTACCAAAATGACTTTGCTTGTTGTACTTAGTTATATTTTCTTTTAGGTCTATGCATGTATGATGGTTTTCTTCTTGAGCAACATGATTGAGAACCAGTGTATGTCAACAGGTGCATTTGAGATAACTTTAAATGGTAGGTTCTGAATAGTTTGCATTTTGTGATAGATTTTAAATGATTTATAATAAACATCAAGCTTTTTTACTTTTTATAATAAAAGAAACTTCTTTAGTGTTTATATGAAACTTATTTGAAAGAAATTGAAAATTTAGGAGAGAAGAATTTAGAAAATTTTAACTTAATTTTTTTAACTTGCTCCCTCAACTTAATCTCTTTACCTCTACTTGAAATTCACATTTTAGAATTCCTTGATGAGTTGGTCCTCTTCTTAGGTCAGATTGTCTCTGTGAACCTTATCTACTTCCATGACTTTAAAATAACATCTGTATGATAATCCCTGAATGTATATCTCTGAATCTCTCCTAAAATGTTGTGCTCAAGAATCTTAAACCTACTCTAAAATAAACTCTTGCTTACTTCTTCTACTGATAATGCCTGTACACTCTTCTGCCCCTCCTTTGACATTTCTCATTTATTTTATGACACCATCATTTGTCTACTCAGTTGCCCAAAGACCTATGGTAACATCACCGTCTCCCCTAGTCTCCATATTTAATGGATTACCAAGTCTTCTCAACCCCATCTCCTAAATTTTTCAAAAATCTACCTTCTGTTCATCTTCACTGCCACCACCCTAGTCCAGGCCATGATTGACTTGTTACTCTCTTTTACATTCTCTAAACCAGGGGTTGGCAAATATGGCCTATGAGCTAACAATGTTTTTTATACTTTTTGGTTAAAAAAATAAAACTAATATTTTGTTACACATAGAAATTATATGAAATTCCAACTTCTGTATTTATAACTAAAGTTTTGAGTTGCATCAATGCAAACTTCATAGAAATTTTTAAGTACGCACATAATGTTCTTGATTTATTGTCTCTTGGTTCATAAAGGGTAAAATATTTACCATCTGCCTTCTTACAGGAAAACTTACCGATATCTGTTCTAAACAATATCTTTTTAAATGCAAATTTTATCTTGCATTTAAACGAGTGTTTCCAATTCATTAAATGACTTTACTTTGTTCTCAAGATAAAGACCAGAACATTTAATGTGGCCAGAAGGCTCTGCATGATCTAGTTCAGTGATTATAAAGCTATGGTCCTACGAGCCATATCCTCTGCTGCTTGTTTTGTAAATAAAGCATTATTAGAATGCAACCATGTCCATTTGTTTATATATTGTATATAGCTGCGTTCAGGCTACAAGAGTTGAATACCTGTGGCAGAGACTGGTTATCATCCCCAGCCCAAAATGTTTACCCTCTGTCCCTTTATTAGCCCCAGTCTAATCCTTCCCACCTTCCCACCCTCCCTTATATCGTTCTTCTATATTTCTTTCAGCTATGCCGATTTTCCCTTACTTTTCGTGTGCCTTTACGTTTCTGTTCTCTCTCCCTCAAAAGTTTTCTGTTCAAATGAATCCCCACTCTGTCATGGTAATTTTTTATCTTTTAGGTCTATTATTTCTCTGACTAGTCAGGAACAGCCTTGTGTATATGTTCCTCCTAGTACAATAGTGCCTTCCACTTTTAATTTTAAGTACACAATTGTAATTTTGTAGCTGTTTGTGTACTTCTTTTGACATTCCCCCTACTAGAATGTAAATTCCCTAAGAATAAGCAGTGTACTTTTTTCTCACTTTTGTATCCCCAGTTCTGTACATAGATGATAAATATTTGTGGAATGAATGCATATTATAAAATAATCCTTAATCTTTTGGGGGGTGGTGCCATTTATTTTTATAGATGTACCTGTATGGTCTAAGCTGGAATCGGGTCACCTTCCATCCATGCAACAACTTGTTCAAATTCTTGACAATGAAATGAAGCTCAACGTGCATATGGATTCAATCCCACACCATCGATCATAGCACCACCTATCAGCACTGAAAACTCTTTTGTAAGTTTTTAAAAATATAACTATGTATAGATTTCTGTTAGTTCTTACGAATCAGCAAGTTAGTAAATATTACATATATTATCACTTGAGTTTCCAATTTAAGATTAAACAGAGGGATGTGTTCTTCATTAAAATGTTGAAGTGTATGAAGAGAGTTTGGACCTGCCAAAATAAAGTCAGGTTGTTAGTAGTTTTACCTTCAAGGCTTAATAATTGGATCTGTAACCTTATTTTCTTTACTCTAAATTCCTAATGGCCAGAGTCGATCTATTATGCTAGAGGTGTGTATACTTATCCTTACCTTCAAATAATTAGTTCCTGAGAGTATGCACATTCTTTGAACACACTCATGATAAAAGATTTATAAGCAAATGTGTGAACACAGATTAGTTAACTTTTGCTTGGCAGAGTTGTTCTTAGTTCCTTTCTGATCAATGAATTGACTTTGTGAAGGGTTTTTATGAGTGATTTTTGACATAAAATACTCTTTTTTCTTTGTGTCTTTCAGGCATTAAGGGATTTTTGCAAGAGCAGCGTGACTGACATTATGAAGGTCTGTACTGAAGACAGCAAGCTGTTAGTACAGACTAGATGCTTTCTTGGCAGGCTCGTTGTACCTCTTGGAAAACCTCAATGCAAGATAGTTTTTTAGTGCTGGCATCTTTTCAAATTCTGCACATTCGTGGAGTGCAATAATGCTGTATAGCTTTTTTCCCCCCCCAAATTCACTCAGTTAATGTGTTTTTGTTAAGGTAGATATTACTTCTTACAACTTTTTTCTTAGTTGTATTTGAAAAAGTAGAAAATTGAGTTATGATTTGATTTTTTTCCCAAAGATGTCTGTTAAATCTGTTGTGCTTTTATATGAATATTTGTTTTTTATAGTTTGAAATTGATCCTTGGGAATCCAGCTGAAGTTCCCAAATACTTTATAAGAGTTTATCAGACATCTCTAATTTGGCCATGTCCAGTTTATATAGTTTACAAAATACAGCAGATTGTGAACAGTATATTATGCAAGATTATGGGGGAAATCCTATATTCAGAGTACTCTACAAATTTTTGTGTATGTGTGTATGTGTGTGTGATTACCAGAGAACTACTAAAAAATCCAATTGCTTTTTAAATCCTCTTGTGTAGTTCAAGTGTCATGCCTTGACCAATCTAATGAGTTGATTAACTGGGCCTTTATACTTAACTAAATAAAAAAACTAAGCAGATATGAGTTGAATTTAAAAGTTTCAATTTATTGCTCAATGTACCTGCTAACATTATATTTAACAATTGTCTGCTGAAACTTTTGTTTTTGATTTATGGATAATTTTATAAGATTCACTTTAGATTCACATACAAATAATAGGCTCATTTACCGTCTTTAGGATCATTGAAACTCATCCCTCGGAAGAACATTCACTTGAACCTCTTTACAGCATTGATATTAGGTGAACAGGAATTACCTGACTAATAATTTGTCTAACACCATATATCAGAATTTTATTGCATATGATGAACAAACCTTAAAATTTTTTAAATTTAATTTTTAAATATTGTTTCAGAGTTCTAAATAGGTAGTTTTTAAAAAAAAAAAAAAAAAACCTAAATTGATAAAGACTGTAAGAATAATTTAGCAGAAATAGAGCCAGAATGTAGAAAAATAGTCTTGTAACAGAAATCATAACACACTTCAGCTTCCATATACAATTAGAAGTGGTAGAGCCAAAAGTGATTTAGGGAAAAGTTATGAGGTACAGGTTGAGTATCCCTTTTCCAAAAATGCTTGGGACAAGAAGTGTTTCAGATTTCATATATTTTTTTTGAAGTTTGGAATATTTGCATTATACTTAACAGTTGAGCGTCCCAAATCTGAAATCTGAAATGTTCTAATGAGCATTTCCTTAGTGTCATGTTGGCACTCAAAAAGGTTCAACATTGAGTCCACCTAACACTTAGGTGTTCGAAGACCTAACTTTCTATAACAATTAACCTTATACTTTGTTTGGATATTTGTTGAATGCATGTCAGGTAATGGTCCTGATTGTTAAAGCTTCAAGGTGGAACATAGTGTAATCTCCAGATGCTAGGAAGTTAGTCTAATAATTCACTGCAGAAAATGGATTAAATGGCTCTCCTTTTAATTAAGAGTGTGGAACCATTAACCTAAGTTCTTCATATAGTGACCTTCATATCTCTAAGGGTCCTTAGAGATTGTTATTCAGGCATAATATTGTCTTGTCTTTGACTGGAGCTTAAAAACCTTGTTATCAGATTGTGTTACACTCCCAACTCCCTACCTTCTGCAAGTTGAATGTCTTGCTAAGTGTGTCTAGGGGTTCATCTTCAGTAATGGACATTCCAGTATTGCCACAGTAAACTTCATGACATGTAGACATTCAAAACTTGGGCGTTGGATTTTCCTGTGAACCCGACAGTTGAAAATACAGAGATTCAAATCCAACTTTCTCTGTGTTTGCCTTGGGTTGAATTAAGTTGTCTTTTGGAGAATAGCTTTAAGTGGCTTAGACACTGATAAAATTCAGCTGTTTTGTTGACACTCATCTCTTTTGTCTTATGCTTAGCCATATTTAAATCTTGAATTTAATAGAGTCTAGTGAAAAAATGAGTAGGAATGAATATAAAAATAATATAAGGAAAAAGGGAAAGTAAACTATTTAGACTGTAGTTTTGTTATATTCCCAACGTTTCAAAATTTATGAGTTACTCGTAAATTACTGTGGCTGTGTAGTTTATAAATGTCTGTGCACTATTATTAATTAGAAGACCATAGAACATGCCAGCAGGTTGGCTAATGCTATGGGGATTTTTTTTTTTTTTTTTACCACAGTTGCCATTGTGGAAGAAATTATTTGGTACCTTAATAAAAAAAAGTTGGTAAAACATGGCTTTATATCTCAGTGTGTAACATGTGCAAGACAAATATGCTTATATCTTTTTCTAGAATATAAGTGGTATAATTTGCTTATGGCACTAACACTATTAATGACAGGAGCCAATCAGCCTTTACAGCTATCAAAATATAATGAGATCCCAATGATGATTCTTTCTTACTTTGAATGTTAATTAGTTTAGGACTTTGATTGGCTGGCAAACATTTTACCATTGTCAGAATTTAATTTAGATTTCAAAAATAGTTTACAGGATTTTAAACATGGTGTGGTATTCTAAGACTTTTTTTTTTTTAAGAAATCTTTTTGAGAGAAAAGATTGTAAAGCTTGGGGACTTACCTCTGTAGCATTGTGAAAATAAACTTTTATTAAGCTGATTTGAAAGGAACTCCTACTCTGTGCAATTAAATCTACACTAGAGCATATGATAACCATACTTAGAAAATTTTGCATTATAAAAGTGATTGTCATTACTTTCTCATGGCTTCTTAACCCAACCAGTATTCACTACCCACTATCAAGTCTGGCATGCAAGTCTTATCACATTCTTGGACCTTACACAAGCCTTACAGTCTACTTGTGCTTCAGTGCTGCTGAACTGTCAACAGCTCTGTCAATTGATGTATTCTGTGCTGGAGTGGAGCAAAGTGGAACAGTTTACATCACTGTCCTTCTTTACCCCGAACCTGCAGAATTCCTGAAACATTCACACTAACATCTTTAAATCTGGAGAGAAACAAAATGAGTGTTCCCTCTGTATTAACTAGTATAGACAATTTAACCATCTCAGAAGAAAGAGCAAAGATCAGATGTATATTGTTTTCAGTCAGCTGGCTCCTTTTTCCTTAGGCTTCAGAAAAGCAAATAGAAACAAATAGATCCATAGGCCAGGTGCAGTGGCTCATGGCTGGGAGGCCACGATGGTGGACTGCTTGAGCCCAGGAGTTCAAGACCAGCCTGGGCAACACGGTGAAATTCTATCTCTTAAAGAAAAATAAAAAATTAGTCAGGCATGGTGGCATGTACCTGTAGGCTCAGCTACTTGGGAGACTGAGATGAGAATATCGCTTAAGCCCAGGAGGTCGAGGCTGCAGTGAGTCAAGATTGCACCACTGCAGCTGACAGAGCAAGACCCTGTCTCAAAAAACAAAAATAAATAAGAGATAGGCCCAGCTCCAAACTGTATCTTGAAGAAAAATATAAACTGGTGTCAGATACAGTAGAAAACTGTAAAGTCATCCAATCTATATCAAAACTAATAGACTGTCTTCTGTTGCCTGTGCTGAGCATGAGCAAAATAAAAAAGAAAGCATGCAGACAAACAGTGGTGGTTTTAAATTTTTCATGTGCTTAAGAATAACTGGATCCCATTCCTAAAAGTTCTGATTTGGTTGATCTGAAATGGTGCCTGGTAATTTCCATTTCAAACAAGCTTCAAAATAATGCTGTCTATGGTCTGCACAAGTCCCTAATTTTTGGGTCATGGACTGGTAGTGGTCTACAGCCTGTTAGGAACCCCGCTGCACACCAGGAGGTGAGTGGCAGGCTAGCAAGCATTACCTCCTGAGCTCCTCCTCCAGTCAGATCAGAGGTGGCATTAGATTCTTATGGGATCCAAATTCTATTGTGAACTGCGCCTGCGAGGGATCTGGGTTGTGTGCTCCTTCCGATAATCCTAATGCCTGATGATCTGAGGTGAAACAGTTTCATCCCGAAACCATCCCCTCAACCCCCTGTCTGTTGATGGAAAAATTGTCTTCCACAAAAACAGTCCCTGGTACCAGAAAAGATTGAGACCCACTGGTCTACACTAAGTACCACCATGCCATAGAGCAGAACGCAGAAGATTCACAACTCATTCTAGATGCATCACATGTATAGAAGGACTTGGTAACATGAATTCAGTAAAATGGGAACTCAAAAAGAATGATACGAGAGGGAGATTATGTTTCTAAGAAAACAATGACATAATTGTCCCAGTCTTAAATGCACCATAACCTTTCTTGTTGAGTTATTACATCACAACCTTTTGCATGAATTTCTCTTAAAAGGAAATATTTAATCTTTGAGTACAATATAAAATAACTGGTTTGAATTGCCAGATTTTCTCAGAGCAAACCAAGTAATAGCATGCCTGCATTGTTCTTATAGTGACAACTGATTTTGATTTTCACATTAAAAAGTCTGTTTAAGTTCTTGTAATTCTGAGTAGAGAAAAATTTACATATTTAACTTTATTAGAGTAATTAACCATAACACAACTGTTTAAATTGCCAGGGAAACCCAGTCTACTATTTTATCCCCACCAACCCCCATAGAAGGATTAATTAGTTCATGTAACTAAGAAAGTCCAATGTAGAATTGGCTTCAGGGATTCAAATGAGAGTATCAGAAATCTCTAAACTGGCCTCATTTTCTCCATGAACCTCACCATAATTAGCATAGAGAATTGGAGGTGGGGCTGGGCATTGAGAAGAGGGGATAATGAGGGGAGGGAAGGAAAGAGCATAGATTAAAGTCCCAGAAAAGTACTCTGGTCCAACTTTTGTCACATTCCCTATCTTGGAACTTTCTTACTTGATACCTGCTCCCTCCTGATCGTTTTGTCATCTGTTAACCTCATTTTCCTTTATTGACCCCTTCTGCCAACCTCCTCATTCAGAATTGAAATTGTTATAGGCTGCTCAGATCAACTACGTAGCTATTTAACCTGTTTGAGAGTTGTCTAGAATGGATGGTGCCAGCACTTGATTGCTTAGTTAAGAAAGAAAAACATTAGGGCCTAGGGATGTTGCTGCCTTGCTGCCAACACTCCCTTGGGCCACTGGCTGTACTGTGCTCTGTGTACTAGCAACTCTTACAAGAGGAAAAAAACAATTACAGCTCCTTTATTACTCTTGGAGTTGCTAAGAGAGATCTGTTTGAAAAAGAGTGAGCTGTTGACATTTTCCCCTAAGCTTTTTGAAAAGTGTATTAGCGTTTTAAAAACTATTAGAAAATGCTGCTAAATTTTATCTTTTAACAGCTCATAAAATCTAGGGGTAAAATTACTTTTTAAGATATTAAAATATATAATGTATATAAGTAACAGGTGACACATACATATGATTCTTCCAGTAAAATTGTGTTTTATACAGATGTGTAGAAATTTGGTGTTGAGATCTACTTCATTACTTCAATTTTCAAATTTAAAAAGGGCCTCTCTTGGTT